CATTTTGAGCAAAACACATCATGTTTTTATATATTTTTATATATCTGAGACCCATAATATATGCCTTAAAATAGCATGATAGGTGCACTTTAACATATTAGCACCACTTTATAATAGTAATAGTTATAATAGCATAAAAGCAATCACCAGAAATAAAATGGTGATGAACTACATGATGGTCACATGACTTCAAGTCACCACCGCTAAGCTAAAGGATGTGATGACGTTTAGAAGTCTCATTTAGCCTTGTTAGCAACCGCTATTTTAAGTCACAAAAAGACAAGTAAGACACTTGTTCACTGACATATGTTATGTCATTGCACGAAACGTGAATATCTCGTAAGCTTATATTAACCGCAGACATTATTTCAGAAATTGAACCAAAAACTAATTTAAAAAAACCTTGACCTCCATACGAAGAGTCCGGAAGTGCTAAAATGCTAACTCATTTCCCGTGTTAGGACTTATTTCTGCTCTATTCTCTATGGATCAGCTTAAGTTATAATCGACCTGTTCTTTTTCCTTTTCTGTATCCTCTGGTGTACCCCAAGGCGTCATCTTAGGCCCATGTTGTTTGCATCATAACAAGTCATACACGACGGACCTCAAAATGTAGAGCTATTGATTTTAGCATGTCCTCCAATGCCTGGAATCTTTCTAAACTCTGCCCAATAAAAAAATAAATAAAGTGTGATTGCTTGTAAAGCCTCACAAAATGGAATACTCTGCATAATTGTTCTTGGCATTGAATGAATGTGTCCTGTCTGTAACCTCATGTACATTAAACATTTTGTAGTCTCTGTTCTTTTTCTCAGTATTTCATCATTTTCCTGAGCTGTTTCTTCTTTCTCTTCTCATATTGTCCCACAGTAAGCAGCAGGCCTACATTGAGCAGCGCTGGCAGGATGTGCGAGTCGGAGACTTTGTCTGTCTGTCCTCTAATGAAATCATTCCGGCGGACATGCTGCTGCTGTATTCCTCTGACCAGCGTGGGGTTTGTTACATTGAGACCGCCAACCTGGACGGAGAGACCAACCTGAAACAGAGACAGGTGGTTTCTGACCTCCCGTTGCAGGTGATAATACATAAAGTAGAGAAATACCATGTGAAAACATGAAAACGTACCTTATGTTTCAATAACGTTATATGCGCTCATACATTTGTGAATTCTGCTTCCCAAGAACTGACAAAAGTTTAGAATTATTTTACTTTACAAAGCAGTATTTGTAGACTTTATCACATTTACAGTATGTTTATTTAAATGCAATTATTCTCCCCAATGTAATTTAATTACAAAGAGCTATGTTTTTGTAACCATCCCAATGGCATACATTCATGGTTAGAGGTAGGAGGATCCCGTTTTACAACAAATGTAAGCCAAATGTAATAGACAGGTAACATGAAAGCAACTGTGGCTTTTAGGATAAAAACTAAAATTACATGTATTATTAAAAAAAAACGTACCCCTATACAGAGCATAAGGTGAAACAAGAACTCTTACATTAGATGTATAATCTAGAATGGATGTATAAACTTTACCTTTTTTATGTGATAAAGATTTTTTTGAAGCAGCATTCATTATTTCTTTGGTTTTGGTGGAGGGGATACATTTTAAAGTAAGTTTTTTCAATTTGCAGTGTTCCTTTATTCCCCAGTTATTAGGATAATCAGGCCTAGCAAATCTGCAGTTAGTTTATGTCAGGAAGCTAGATCGTTTATGATGGGATGTGTTTGGATGAATGATTTAAATGGCAAACCTAAAAAAAAGGACTCCTTAATGTTTATTCTTGACTGTCAGTTCATTGTCAAGTATTAACCAGAGGGTGTGTGTGAGTGTGTTTTCCAGGGAGTAGAGTCCCCCCTCGAGAGCTTCCACAGTCGTATTGAGTGTGAGAACCCCAACAATGACCTCAGCAGGTTCAGAGGTTACATGTAAGTTCCCCTTCATCTGCTTGTAGAACACTGCTGTGACACTGATACATTGGATCATTATGACCTTATCTTTATATATTAATTGAGGCCAACATGTGTCATTGCTTTGTGACTACAGTCTTAAAGTATCTTCTTCTTAATCAAAACGAGTTTGTTTGAACATTTCAGAAATGTATGGAACATGTATGTCTGGAATATTGCCATTTATAAGTCTGGATTAATAGATATATCTCATATTTTAGTATTTTGAGACATTATTATTATTATAATCCCATTGTAACAAAAAGAAAAACAGATTCCAACAGATTTTCCTCATCATATTGTTATGCCCCTTTAAAGTGTAACATCCTTTCAAAACAAAGTCAAACTATCCCGAAGTCATATAACTATTTATTCATATATTTATGATATTGCTATATTTGAAATGAACAAAAGATGGCCAAATGAGCCTTCTAAAACCATCACACTGCCTAAAACACACCTCCACTCTCTAAATGTTACCAAAGCCAATTCCTTGCATGTGTAAACCTACGTCTGATTCTGAAATAAAATGTATTGTGTTGGTCTGCAGGGAGCACCCCAGTGGGCTCCGAGTGGGCCTCCACAACAACAACCTGCTGCTGAGGAGCTGCACCGTCCGCAACACTGAGACCGTGGTGGGCATCGTGGTGTACGCTGGTGAGAGCAAACACACACTGAGGGTCAACACACTGCTCACATTGGGGTCTGCTTTGTGAGGAATACATCACGTGTTGAAAGATACATCTGAAATCCTGCAGGTCTTCTTTTCTGTTTACTTACATTACTAAAATGTTTGTGCAGTCTGTTCACCACAAGCAGGAAAGGTAACCTGCTGTTTCTGTTGACATGAGATCCAATTACATTCATAATGACTTTTCTTCGTGAATTCAGAGGAGATGAATAAATTCATTAAGTGCAGTATGGCATTATTTATTTATTTATTTTAATAACATCACCAGATTACCAATACAAAAATACTTCATTTTTGTATAATGTACCTGACTGATCCTTCATGGGATTATTCTGATTTACGATAAAACTATCAACCAAACATAAACTTGACCAAACATTAACCTGGGTATTTTAGCACCTCATTAAGTGTTTCTTCATCCGATTTTTTAAAGCTCTTATAGCAGCGACAGCCGAGGCAACATCAATCAAACCGTGTTTTGAAAGAATAAAAGTAGGCTTAGCCCTCCTGTTCCCTGACTGTTAGTGGTAGTGTCTGTGAACAAGCTCCTTTGTGTCTCCTCTGAACAGTAGAACCAGTCATGTAAGTTGGTGCAGGCGCCCGCCCCCACTACCAGCATCGTACTATCTGCAGGTATTTGAGCTTGACCAAACTCATTGTCTCATTCTGTCTAAAGAACAAATTCAGTCATGTCATTTTCTGAGCTGAAATTCAGGAATCTCTTATTTGATATTTAACATGAAAGGACATGCCTGCATCTCCTATCTCCCTACAGTTACAGTACTTAACAAGAGTTTCAGAGTTTCAGTGTTTCTGCCAAAGACTGTAAATATAAAGGTTTCTGCTCATGGTGAAGCAACGTGTCTGCGTGTTAAGGTGGAACCTGAGCATTCATGTTGATCACCTCTCATTATAACTCATTATAAATCTATAAAACTATAAATATTAAACTTTACTTCACGTGTTCATTTGAGAACAGCTGTTACATACCTGGGTGAAGGTTACAGTTCATTTAAATGAAAGATACAACGTTACTCCACACTCATGGTTCAGTCCACCTTAAGAAATAAGACAGACCTCGAAAGCAGTTGTGTTTTAAAAAAACCTTTATTGACACGAGGACACTTTTTTTATAAGAATATAGTCTAAACCACAGAAATGACTCCGGAAAAGCTGCAGATAGAGCCATAAGAAATGAATGCAACTGATTTCATCCGTGCGGTTTGGCTTTATGAAGCAGGCACGCAAACGGTTACGTAATGACGCAAACGATGACGCAATAACGC